GCAAGCACACACAGTGATTTAAGTACAAAATCCAAATGTATTTTAATCTGATTCACAAACCTGTTTTGGCAACTAAAATATCTAGAGATCAGTTATCAGGGTTAAAATATCCAGCATCTGTCAAAGCATCTTAAAACTTTTAAGCAAGGTTTAGTTTGCCTTTGGTTTTTCAGAGCTCCTGTTAACCACATTTGTTTGTTATGCTGCTTAACTAAAGTTCTTTCATCAAAAATCAAAACATGTTAGTTTGTAGCACAAATGGTTTTACCATTTACTGCACTTTATTTTTCAGTTAATTACTAGATAACAGATATGGGACTTTCACACGTTTACAGGAAGCAGCTTCCTTTTGCATTGATGAATGCAGCAGATACAATGCTGCCATTGGCGAAAATCCATCTATCTATTCTCCAAACCACTCATCCTGTGTAAGGAAGTGGGATTGTTAGCGATGATTAGAGAACGTCAGACCGCTAAATGCTGAGATTGACCGTTCACAATCAAGTAATACAAGGAGCTGTTTAATAAGAGGAGGGAAATCGGAGACTATGAGAAACAGCATTTCTGCTAGAACAGGCCGCAATGAGTCAAACCCTCTAAAATAGTCAAAGTATGCGAGTGTGTCACTGGAAATCCACCCATTAGATGATCAAAATCAAATCTATGAACCAGCCTGAAACACTTCCCTGACAAAAATAAAAGCCATAAAAGGGAAACACGAGGAAAAGGGGGAATAAATATAGAGCAAAAGAACAGAACAAGGGAATTAAAGAACAAGAGGCCAGTATTAGATGTTTGTTAAGCTAGACAGGAACGGTAAGCATCTTTCTGTAACCTTCTGCCCCATCAGCATGTGTGTGTGTGTGTGTGTTGTGAGGGAGTGTGATGCTGGAATGCCTGAACACAGGACGAGTAAATGAGGATCATCTCATAAAGGCAGATTCACTCCCTCTCACAAACGTACACACACACTATATGACATTTCAAGAGTGGGCAGTAGAGGTCAGAGCAAGTGGAAAATCACTCTTATCGCTAGAACAGCACACACACACACACACACACACACACACATTTGACTCTCGCTCTCCCAATCTCCAGGGAACAGCATATCACAGACTTACACACACATCCTACAACTACAAACAAAACATAGTCCAGACCTGAGCGAGACAAAACTCTGCTCCACAGTTACACATAAATCCACTTTCTTCAAGAACAAACTTGAGGACAAGACTAAGACTGAACACTAAAGTAGATTTGGAGTTTTGAAGAGATTTTATAATTCAGGAGTCATTCGGTTAGTTCACTTGAATGAATTTGGTTGTTATTGAGGTAATCAACATTAGGTCCTTGATGAGTACATTTAGATTTAGGAACTGTTATTTTAGCATTCATACCAGGCCCGTAGCCGGGGAGGGGGGGGGGGGGGTGTGTTTCAGGTGGTTTGAAAGACCTACCCCTCACAAAGGTACAGAATTTGTCCCTAATTTGTCATATTTTAACTGCTATGCCAACATAAATAGTGAAAATAACCCATCAAAAAAGTCTTTAAGACCAAGCAGAACCCTCTGTTGTCTGTTGCTTCGGCGTGACTTTAACTAATCAGTTTTGGCCAATGCTAACAAATATTAAAATTTTTACAATCTGATAATGTACGGTATTGTTTTTAATAGGGAAACATTTTACAAGTAACTTTTATTAATCTTGGACCTTATTCTAGAAAAAAAGACCAGTAAAAAGGCATGAAGCACCAAAAACGGCCCACATTAAATTCATTTTAATACTATTTTGGTTATTGTTGTTATCCATGAATTTACAAATGTACTTTCTTTTTTTTACTAAAGAAGCTGAAAAATTTGTGGAGATCTACATTATTCTTTTATTATTATTATTATTATTATTATTATTATTATTGAAATGGCCAAATTCTGACTGAGGAAAGTTGAATGTGCTGGCCAGTTTGTTATTTTCCTACTATAAATGACAATCAACTACAGTTTTTAATTAAAAAAAAAAAAACAGATTCTAATTTTTTTTCTAATGATAAATAATGTAAAACATTTATATTTTAAAATCATATATATTTTCATTATTTTTTATTATAAATCTTCAGAAAATATTTTGGTACATCAAAAAGTGTGGTTATGATGACCATCCAACAAGCTAATCCAGCAACAATAGTGACAACAAAACTGCCTTGAAATGCAGTATTTAAGTCTCATAATTAAATAGAAAATGAGGTGTATGACTGCAAAGAGGTCCACTTTTGAAGAAGAAAAGAACCACCCCTTTCACTAGGCTGGCTATGGGCCTGTATACTTTTTTACTTGGTTATAAGAGTACAAAAATAACTAAAATACACATAAAAGGGTTCTTTACATTGATGGTTCCATGAAGAAACATTACCATCCATGAAAACTGTCTTTATAAAAAGGTTCCTTAATAAATTAAAATATTTTCCATATTAGAACTTCTTGTTCTATGAATGGATCTGAAAAACCTTTTTGAACCTTTTGTTTCAGAAGTGTAATAATGTTTTATTAACATTCCTGTTAAGTTTTGGAAAGTTTACATTTTTTTGAATGTCCAGTTTGTTTCATTTTTAGTTTATATTCCATAATTGGGGTTACGAACACCATAAAAATTCAGGAAATATTTTAGCAAACATTCTATAAACATTACAGGAAGCATCTGTTGAGTAGATAGTTTTATCTTCAGTTGTGTGTATGAATTAATTCAGATGAAGCAGATCAATTCAGACACTTAATTTCTGTCAGACACTTCTGATATCTTTCAAAATCAATAGTCTTTCATATCACTATTAAAAAAATCTAGGTTATTTCATTCCAAATTTGGATAAAATAGAGACAAACCCAATCTCTAGGCCACAGTTTTTAAAATGCATTTTTAACTAGCTTTAACCCAACAGTTGAGAGTTTGTCTATTTTTGGGTTGAAGTAACCCAGATTTTTTTTATTTTGAGTTGTATAATACTAAATATGTTCTAAAATTTAGAGAGCTCTCAAGCTGAATGTAAACTTGATTATAACATCCAAAACAAACAAAAGAAGCTTCAGGATGTGTCAGTGCTTTTTGGATATACACTGAAAAAAATGTTCGATTGGATTTACAAACCTATATTAAACAAACAGATTAAGTTGAACTTTGAGTTCAGCCAACATGTTAATTCCATTAACCATTTTTTTAGTGTAGGATTTAAGTATGCAAAATTACATTCACTGGCACTCGAAAAAGTGATAGAAAAGTTCAAAAGCCTTTCACATGGCTAGTTTTAATACAATAGTCATGTAAATAAAGGCTTTTTAACTTCTACTAAAGTTGATTATGTCAGTGAATAGGCTTGGTCTGAGTTTGTGGTTGTAGTCAGGGTTCATGAAGCTAAATTAACACACCTAATACACCCAATACGTCCATGTGCTCTCATGTGTCATTGTAAGTATACCATTACTCTATTCATAACACATAACACAACACTGACTGTGGCATCTGAAAAGCTAAAAGTTCACACAACAACAACATGCACAAATATTAACCAGTTCTTCCATTAACTTCCTCCATATATTAAAAGTTTAAAGAGGGCGGAAACATCTGATGAAGTCCCATTTTTAGCCCAGGGAGTGGCCCCATGCAGCAGAGCGGGAAAAAAGCGAGACAAATGGCACAGAATAAAGACGAAGAGAGACAGAAGGAAGTCTGCCACTCCTCTGATTGCAGGGAATGAAGTTTTCCAAAGTCTCAAACTTGCTGAGCGTTTTAATGGGATGTTTAGAGGGCTGTAAGCGACCCTGAGCAGTGAGTCAGAGGCGCTGCAGTTTAAAAATAACTTTCATGCCCCTCCGACCCACCTCGTGGAGGGGTGAAAGCTTGATACCCCGCCAAAGATGGTTACAAGCAGAGGGGGGTGAAGGGAAGCACGTACAAAATAAGCGCATACAGGGCGTCTCTCTTCTGTCTCTCTCAGGCCTTTTATCCAGCCTGTGGACTAAATGTTAAATGCTTCCCTTAAATACAGAGTGGCCTCTATTAATACCCACTGGTAACCCTGCCTAGATTGAGAGAAACAGGGAGAAATGGAGAAATAGGCAGACGCTGAGTAACTCAAGGCTGCATGGTATATGATGGTGTAACAGTCATTGCATTACATCATTTTCCCAGCACATGGTCCAAATGAGAGAAACACTGTATCAGCACATGCCTGGATGTCTAAATAATGTTTATGACAAAGTAAAGACACTGAAACATTAAGTAAATTTCCATAAAATATATATATATTGTTAAAATAAACATAATATTGTAACTTAAAATAAAATGCATTTAAATAGCTTTATAAAGATATAAATGCATTTATAGCTTGAATTTTTTTATATTTTTGTTAATTTTTTCTTTCCATTTAAAAAATGTTAAAATTTTTAAACAAAGGTCTTTCTAATTTTCATTTAGTTTAACTTACATTGCTAAAATAAACTAAACCAGCAGACTAAAAATTAATACAAATATCAAAACGCTTAACAAAATCACTAGAATTAAAAGTTTTTCATTATTTTTCCTTCAGCTTAGTCCCTTTTTTCCACCGTGAAATGAATATAAAGTATTTAATGCATCTAATTAATACAAATACATGTTATTAATACATTTAAAAAACATCATACAACACATTATATATAAAAATTATGAGTGAATTGAATGTATTTGTAATAAAAGTTTGTGGTAAACATACTCCACTATTATGTTTTATTGACAACTTTAAAATTTAATAAACAAATTTTATTTTAAAAAAATACAAATATTCTTTAATTTTTATACTCAAATGTGACGCCAAAATCAGGAGAGAACAAATATTATTTTTAGTAGGGATGTACGTACTATAATCAGACTGAACAGAACTGTAATGAACAATATGGTCACTAAAGGGCAGAAGTTGATGATGGACAGAGTGTGAGAAAGAGAACATGTGTGTGTGTGTGTGTGTGTTGACTTACTTGCTTGGGTAAAGGTACAGAAAGGCCCTGTCAGGGTGAGCAGCAGCAGCAGTGTGATTTTCATCATGGTCTCTGTTGGTCACTATTCTCCAAGTCAAACTTCAGCAATCTCACAGGCTCCTAAAGCAGTCAGCAGAGGCTGTGGATGAAACGCTCTGATGTGTGGCTCAAGGTTGGTTTGAATGGAAAGGGGCGGTGAGGTCTGAACAGAGTCTTCACTGGGCGAGGGGGTTGGGCACTGCTGTTAGGTGGTCCTGCCCATATTGAAGTCTCTGTCTGTCTGTCCTGCTCTTTCTTTGGGACTTTCTCAACTGTTTTTTTTTTAATGGACTATATTAGACACCTATAGCTTAAAAATTATACAGTATGTGACTTAAAGAGTCACCCCAAAACTAAAGCCTTAAAACAAATGGTATGTTTACTGGATTTTTTTTTAAATATTAAAAATAAAATTGTTAAAAGTTTTGTTTGTTCTTTGAGACCAATTTGAGACTTTTATTTATACTCAAAATACAAACAAAATCATAATTTAATGAAATCCAAGAGAATTCTGTTCATGAAAAAGTCTGTTCACCTAAGTCTGACCTTTCAAAATTCATAAAAAGTTCAACTAATAAATCTATATGAATTGTTTGTAGGGCTATGTGATCCTAAATAAAACCTTTTCATCAAATAAAGCAATAATACATTGTATCCCCTCAGAAGACTTCAGAAATCTTTTTACATGTTTTTTACGTGTGTGTGTGTGAGTGCATGTATGTATGTATGTATGTATGTATGTATGAATGTTTGTATGTATGTATGTATATATATATATATATATATATATATATATATATATATATATATATATATATATATATATATATATATATATATATATAATTTATTTATTTTTTTTTTTTTTTTATTTTTTTTTGCTCTGATAATAAACACCCTGGATTTAAAATAACATAAATGAATTAAATGTAAGAGTGAACTATATCTATCACTTAAGCAGCACAACGTATCTGTCTTTCATAGGCATGTTATGTAAAGTAATTGTGTGAAATTAAATATGTCATCTCCCTGACTAAAGCCAGTTAAATTACAGAAGTTGGTATGGACAGGTCACTTATTTTATGCCTAAAATTAAAGGATGTCTAACTCTATTGCCACGAGTCCCAAGCTAAAACCTCCAACAGTTCTGTTTATGACTTTGAGGAAATGACAGAGAATTATTTTCAGCCGTTAAAAGTTTCAAATTCTTGCAAGAAGATTTGTTGATGTGAATGCCGCCATTTTATGCTGACCTCTAGTGGCGGGTGTATGAAATTACAAGAGCACAATGGACCTTCTGTTTGACAGCAGCCCAATCAACGAGACCACACCGAAAATGAACATTTCGAGTAGCTATGAATTTTAATGCCAACACATTTGTTACATTTACTTATCTATATGTCTTAATTGGCTACAATTAAACAACCATTTTATACACTGTTAAATAGTGCTATATATATATATATATATATATATATAGAAAGTTTTGTTTTCTTTGTTATGCTTTTATTCATTTAACTAATTTAACAGGGTCCTCAGTGTGGTTTTAATTATTCATTTATTTATATTTTTGTTTGACTACTAAGCCTCTTTCTTGACAGACAGGGCAGGAAGTAACATCATTTAGCCAGGAAATGACTCCATAGGCATCAGTAAATTTTAACAAGCTTTAAGCGGATTGTCACATGAGCAGACAGGAACACTGATGTTTTTGTATCAGTCAGTCAAAGAAAATGTTAAATGGACTAAAAATGTTCACTGAAAATGAAAATGGGTTTGTTAAATCTCAGTATGTCATCATGAATCATGAGGCGCTTCTGCAGGAAACCTATAGTCTTTCCTCACCCCACAGCTCAAACCCACTCCACCACGCCTGAAATCTAGAATGTTTAATCTTTTTACGATTAAAATGGTACCACTTTATAGTAAGTGGCCTTATTTTATATGTATTTACATTTAAATTATTCATATTGTATACCATGATAAAAAACACAAATAGACATTTTAAGAACATTGTATCAAATGAATCATTTAAATTCTAATGCAGATTTTTAAAACCATAAGTATACTTTTTAATACTATGTTTTTAGAAAATCTGCATTTTTATTAATTTCTGGTTTAAGGTTTAATTCTAACAATTTAACCCACACTTAACCCTACACAAACCACCAAATAATACTGGTATCCCACCTCAATAGCACCATAATGTGTTGTGCAATACCTTTAGTTACATATTTTTTAAATAAGTACCTATAGTTGGTAAATGGGCTCTTAAAGGGCACCTAGGTTACCCATTTTTTTAGATTTATTATGAATCATTTGTCTCCAGAATGTGCCTGTAAAGTTTCAGCTCAAAACAATAAAAAATATTTTTTATTATACCTTTTATAAGATTCTGTTTTATACATTTTTACACTGGAGTGGTGGTTTTGCTGTTCTGCGCCTTTAAGGCTAGTCCTCCCCACCCACTGTAAATCTCCTCCCTCTGCTGCATCAGACAACAAACAGACATAAAGGAAGCAGATCTCATGTAGCGTTTGTGAGAAGTACTAGAACTTTACCCATGATTTGCATGATTTGATGCATTTGCTGTAAGTTACAATGTCAATGTTGTTACGAAGTTCACATGCACACACAGACACAGATACCCAGCACGGACACGATACACACATACATACAGCAGCGTGTTTAGCTTTGCACTCTTTTTGCACGTGACAGGATACAGGCTAATCTCCACTGCTGTATGAGTATCTGTTATGATAATGTACAAAATAAACCTGATTTAACATCCACAAAGCGGGATTGAAGCATCTTCCTTTATAATTGTTCTGACACGTGGCTTTGCTGATGAAGTAATTCTGAAATAAATCGCTGTACTTCATTACACACGTGCACTGTTTTAAAACATTTCAAACTTGTAAACTCATTCTTGATCACATTTAATGACGATTGATGATCCTAGTGAACTGAACAGACCTTTTATTCCCAGTTGCTTTGCGCGCGTCTGGTCTTGTTGACATGATTATACACGTGACTACCGGGACATGCTACACAAAGTGATGTCAATTGAGTTTAAATGTATGTGGTACCATCACAGAGGCCATAAGTCACTTTTTAAAATGGACTGCTGATTCATTAGTAGGCTATAATAACTAAAAACCCATCTCTTCCACGATCACCAGTAAAGTTTAGATAGGATGCATCTGCAGATATGCACATCAGTATACCATCATTTTTGTGACACTGTGTAACAATAATTAATATTTTTACAGTACTGTGACGGTTGGGTTTAAGGTTGGTGATGGGGTAGACATTAATAAAATACAATTTATTGAGTAATTTAATAAATAACATACATAATACTCGGTACAACTACTGTTTTTACATTAAGGCATTGGTTTAGGGTTGGGGTAGGGTAGACGTTAACAAAATACAATGATTTTTATAAATTTAATAAATAATTTTCATTAACTTCTGGCTGCAACCGTATCTTATTTAGCAACAACCACGATCACCTGAACCCACAAAACCAAGACCCCATTTCTATGACAACCTAAATCAATTCTGAGTGTGTCTCACACGGGTGAGTGAGCTTGACAAACCACCTGTAGAAAGCATACTCTTTTATCTCTGACACTTTAACTGACACTTGCACCAGTTTTGCACTATAGCACCAGACATTTTCTCACAATCACTCCATATCTCAAAAAAAAAAAAAAAAGCATAAAGCTTCACACATGTAAGTGGGCTTAACAAACCACCTCTATATACACTGTTCTCTCTATATAAAACACTCCACCCTCCTTACTCTAGCATTTAATTCTATGAGCACTAGCAACTCCTTTTGTATAACTATCACTTTTTGTTTGTATTGCCTCTTGTTGAAGCACTGAATGTCTCCTCAATTCTGAGTCGCTTTGGACATAGGTGTCTGCTAAATGAATAAAAGTAAATATAACTGGTTCACCACTGACCTGTGATAGTATGCCACTCTAAAGAACTAAAGAACCAGCGACCTTCTTGCTGTGAGGCCACAGCACTACCTACTGCGCCACTGCTTCACCCCATCCGAAACTTATGTAATAATTTTTTTATTCGATTCATCAATTGAAGTCTACGTTAACATTGACCTTGCAGAATCTGGAACATTATTACAGGGTTATTCTAACTTATTTAGTTTCCTGTGAAATTTGTAAGCTTTTCTTGCTTCTAAAGGAAAACAAAAAGTATGAAATTTAGTCAGAATATTGTTATGCAAAATCTGTTCAAAAGTTTTCAACACTGGTTCTTACTGAGAGTTTGAACCTTCTGTAATAGTTTGTGTTTGAGTCCCTCAGTTGTACTCAGTATGAAACGATAAATTACAAAATTGCACAGTCATTCTTGGAAAAAGTTGAAAATGTTGAAATATAAATAATGTATAGGACCTGAAGGATTTTTTGAAGAAAGAGAACAGCAGGCCATTTAAATGTTCAGAGCCAACAAGGGACTCATGAACAAAAAATCAACCTTGTTAAAATAATGAACATTTTGCAGATATGTAAACTACTGAAGTTCAACTATACAAGTGAGCTGATTATTTGTAAAACTGACTGGGATCTTTCTTTTTTGGGCTGGATATTAATGTAAGCACCAATATAGAAAACAAATTATGTCTAAAATAAAGATGAAATGAACTGCATCTCTTCATTAAAGTAACCTTTTGCACCAAAATAATTAAAATTATGTCACAGTTTAATTGCCCTCAACTTGTTATAAACCTATTTTAATTTATATATTTAAAGAAATAATTTTAAAGAATGTCAGAAACTAGAGCCATTGACTTCCATATTGTGTTTTTTCCCCTATAGATTCCAATGGTTACTGGTTTGCAACATTCTTCACAATATCTTTTTTGTGTTCAGCGGAAAAAAAGATTAGTCATGAAGCTTTAGAACCACACGAGGGTAAGTAAATGGTTAGTCTGTTTTCATTTTTGTGTGAACGATCCCTTTAAGCCTTTACAGCATCATTTATCAGCATTTACAAGAACAATGAAAAGAGACATCAGCCTACAGGCATCAGATTTCTCTCCAGTAAGAGAAAAGGAAATATCAGTTTAGTCCAGAATAAAGACAGTAGGGTCATTTGAAGGAAATGCTCTTATTGACATAAACACACACACATACCTTTC